CCCCAACTCTACTTCGTTAAAGAACCGCTTCCGATCAAGGAGTATTTTGATTGATAGCAAATTGTCAATAACGCCGAGTATTCCAAACCATTTGTTTGCAAAATTAATAACTTAGCATTGACATAGTTAAACTTCGGTTCCTTCCACCTGGCAAGATATATGCCTACACTGGTAGTTTAAGCGTGACCAAATAGGATTAAATGATAAAAAGGAAATTTAGGCAACAGGGAATGCTATTTAAATTTCTGCAGACCATACATTTAAACAAAGTGTATGCAACGTGAAGTTGATCTGCATAAGCACCGAAAAATAACGAAAGAATATTAGAATCGCACAAATCTTTTCAACTTGCTTTATCAACTTTTGAAAGAGAATAATCACTGAAAGCAAGCAATTTATACTTAATATACATCTGATTTTGCACCTGAAGCGGTATAAACGAAATGCAGGATATAAATGAGCAAAAATTTTGTGCACAACTCCGGGGGTCTCAAAATCGATGTAGATCTGGTGAAGTTAAGTCTGCCCAGCAGAAGTATATTGCAACGCCGCTCCTCTGCTGAAAAACATTGCCCAGGAGTTACAAGTGCCATTTCAAAAGACCACGCTGAGATCATATCTAAGCATGAGTGATTTTGCGATGCGTCTTCTCAAAAATCCCATAAAATCAAAGTCTCAATCTCACTTCAAACTCCCCCCCCCCACTGCTACTAGTTTCGCATGAAATGGTTTCAAATAATCAATCCATATACGTCAGCTGATTGTGACAAAACTTTTTGTCATTTGAATAACTGGAGCTGAGTTGACGGAATATCCACCTTTTTTTAAAAGTATAACTGCACGCACATATAAGCAGGTAGATTTAAATATTAAGAAAGTTACACAAGAGAAGAGCCGCTTAATTAGGTACATGTAGTATTTAATTAAAGCAGATTGAAACAAGCAAACGTCTACCCGTCATAGAAGTAAAAAGACAAAAATAAAAAGCAAAGTTCTTTGGTTTCCAAAAAGGTAATAATGCTAGTTTTAGAGAAATAGGAAAAAAATCCGATTCTAGTTCTTCTGATCGATTAACCTATATCCAATTTTTCGCGTCCACTCCACAGCAACAAAGAGAGCCGCACAAGAAGGGACTGTTCGTAAGAGGGTAGGTGCCAAACCAGTATAGAGAGCTCGAAAACCTACAAATGAAAAATAACGTTCAACAAAATCAAAAGCTAGTTAGAAATACTATTAAAGTTTATTTAAGTAGAAACAAGAGACCTTCTGTATTATAAATTAGCCTCAAGACTTTAAGAAAGTTGGTGGAATGGTAGCTAGGAGAATTAGGGGATAGGTGACCAATTTGCATCCGAGATTTGACCACGTCGAAAGGAAAGATAAAGGTCCAAATTGCCATGCCACTCAAACCGCCGGCTACGGCAGTAGCTAGGTGACCGAGATCCTCTTTATCAGAACCGTAAGGGGTCATGAGATCGCGAAAGAGTTCATAAGATCCAAAGAAAACACCCAGTCCAAAAGTTTCACGAGCCAATGTAGGGAGAAAGCCTCGGTAAAGACCACGAAAGCCTTCAGTTTTGAGAACATGCATAGTGATATTTTTGGGTCCACTAGAGGATTAAAATTAATCAATTAAAGCAGTGCATGTGCTTTTAGAAATGCGCTTACATAGGAAATGCCTTCTTAGGATCTAAAAGGGCCATTTCATTAAACGCTTGAGATTTGCATTTTACAAGTTCAGTTGGACAAAGAACTAAAGCGGAGCCTATGCCGGCAAAAAAACCAGCAAGACCATGTTGGTAGAGACTGAGCGTTTTAGCATCTCTATTTCCAGACATAGAAGCCACAGCATTTTGGCATTGTGGAAGGATGGCAAAAGTAATTGCGTTTTCGGAAGCACTAGCTATTAAAGAAGGTAGCGTTCCAGCATAAAGTCCACGAAAAAGGCCCTCTTTAAAAAGTGTATCAATAAAGCATCTTGTTGCAGAACGGTATAATTCCGGAAAGGTCTGGAGTTTAACCTTCACCGTATCTAAAGGCTGTGAAACCAGAACAGCGGCGATGCCGCCTTAAGAAAATTAATTAACGTGAGCAAGAAATTACCATTCATTCCACCTATTAAGCCTATCGCGGAATCAACACCTTGGTTCATTTGCGCCTAAACGAGCAAGGCACAAAAAAGGATAGGTTCAAGTGTGTATCCTACGACAAGGTCAGTAATATGCAAGCAGTGCGTCAAATTTGGAAGTATTGTCAAATGACAATAAGGAATTTTATACCATTTTAAAGCAAAGGGACTTATAATCTGGTTTATTTACATTTAAATGAATATATATTTATTGAAAAATATACTCAATAAAAGTAAGACAATATTATTTGCCAAAGAAATTGTAATTAAATTTCAAATAAAAATGCATTATTTTGGACCTCATAAATAGAATTATTAGAATTTTATGTTACTAATTGAAATAAACTTACATGATAGTTTGGCATTGATTATTAATTACACCACCTCGTTTTACATTTGTCAGATTATTCTCTGTTTAACGTTCTAAAATAAATTCATTATAACACTAACTTCTAAAATGTTAATAAATCCATGAAATGTGTTTCCACCTCCATTGGCTGTTAAATTTTTCCTTTGACATTGATTACTTAGCTTAGTTTGACTTCAAACAATACCGTGAACCATCCTTAATATTTTCAAAGTATTATTATTGCTGTGAATTGTAGTGTGACTTGTCAATTTAATTATCAATCATTCTTTTAATTTAACTAGTTATTAGCTCTTTAAGTTGCACAAAATTGAATTTTTGAATTACATACCATAATAATACATAACGTAGAAATATCAACCAAATGTGCTCATTTTGAGTATAAATTGAAGCTGAAAAAATTATCATCGTGTCGAAAATAGAGCCATCAACTCAACTATTAAAGGAGCTAACCATTAATCCAATGTATATTTTGCTATTTATTTAATTTACTAAGAAAGTTGATACGATACTTAATTTGTTTATTTTGGCCAGTTATAAAGCAATAAGAAGCGTTCACCATGGGGACTGCATTTTGGGAAGGATAACAAGTAAATCTACGGTTCGAAAGTGGAATCGTATCGGAACATGCGTCTCCCATGTAGTGTTCATGAGATTGATCAATCCTAGGATTCATAAAAAAGATGCAGCCAATATTTTCTATAACAAACCACTTAGGACATAATTACACATAGAGTCTGTCATAACACAGACTGTGGTCATGTAGATTGGTGAAGGTGTATTACATATGAGAAAACAAACTATCGGTAGTTTAAATGAAGAGGACAAGGAGCCCTCGAGGCCAAGTCTAATCTCCCCACATCCAGTAGTACGGATACCGATGTGGTTAATTTTGCATAATGAAATGTTAGCTTCTCATCTGATCGTCTCCAGGATACTTCTAATAGATGTTCTTCTAATGGTCAAGAAAAAATGGAAGGTAGGGTTCAAGATGTAACTCCCCTCTTTACTGTTGCTTTTACAAAAAAACCCATCTAAATGAGTGTGGTAACTAGGTTTTTTTGAAAAATAGGAGTTCCAAAGATTCCATTTTATTATCTTTGTTTCCTTTTCAGATATAAAATTCAGTTAAGGCTTTTATGAAAGATACGAGTTTAATGAAACAGAAGAGCAATGCATTTAGCACATTTATTATGATTCACATGATCACAGAAGATTCTGCTTATTGGCAAGTTCATATAATTAATATAAACGTGGAGACTGAAGCATTCGCCACTAATCACATGTTATTCACAGTAGTACCATAATATTACATCGAAAATTTTTTTCGAATATTCAGGGCACACCTTTCTTAAAAAAAGATTGGCTACTTCAAATATATTACAGAACATTGTACTCTTCTGAGGCACTATGCCAAATAGTGAGAAAAATAAAAAAAATCATTTTTCCTTTTACGATTTAAATTATTTTTAAGCAGAAGAAATAATAGAAGATATTAACAATGGCCAAACGGAGACGAGTTATCGTTGTGAATCTCGAATATCCATGACTGAATTCTAACAAAAATGCTGTTTGCTTCTTGAAATGCATTGACTTACTCTTGATTATTCCTTTATTTTTGTTTTTTTTTATTTCAGATGATAAGAAATGATTTACTAGAAGTGATATGCAAATAACTGTATTTAGTTCCATCTGCTTTCTCAATAGAAGATAAATTCACCTAGTTCACTAGGACTACTACCATTTTTTGATCAAATTGTTTTGATTGTCGTATTTTTGGGTTCTAACATTTTAGTTCTCACAATTGATTTTCTGCGGTATTCAATTCAAACGCAAAAAAGTGACATTATGTGTTAATTAACTGTTGAAGGAAACAATACTGACTTCCTGAGTTTTTTTAAATTTTTTTATGGAGGATAAGTCACTTAAGATATTTCATTCTTAATTTAACTTATTATTTTAAACAAGTACTAATGAGTTAATGCTAGGGCAGGTGGTTTGTCTAGACCACGGGGAAGATATCCTTTTTGTAGAAAAGTAACAGAACTAATGAAGTTAAATTTCTTGTATTGGGGTGTGCGGTAGACTTACCTCTACGTGGTACAACCTGGACAACGTATACTCATATGGAAAAAAAGTTATCAACCGGCAGTTGACTTCTAACTTTAAACTACCATCACCCTACTCTATGTAATATTCGACCACTTTCACAGTACTCATTCTGCCTTTTCTTTACCTTTGTGTCTGTCTCTTTTACATCATTGAATCACTCTTCTGTCCCCCCCCCCTCTCGAATTATTTTACTTTGATATTCCTTCCCCTCTGTGAAGCCCGAAGTCAACTAAAGGGCCAATGATAACCATCGAAACGCCTGCCATTTGATATAAATAAATTTAGTTGAGACCTTGATGTGACATTGATTCGATTATGGCTTCGTCTTAGGCAAAATCCATGTAAGTTAGGCGTTCTCTGACGTCACAATCTAGATCACGTTTTATTGAAACCCAAGTCAATGAATACTGTGATGATTCATCTTTTTACTTTTATTTCTTATTGTTATGAAATAAATTAGGGAACAGAAACTTATATACGCGGATGCTCTTGTACAGCACTTCAATTCAAACTCAGAACGACAGAAATGCAAAATCTGTTACTTTGAGGAGAATAAGGTTTCTTAATGAGACTTTAATTTTTTCTTACATCATGCTAAAATAAATACGCACTTCCCTTATAAGTTGAAATCAATTTAATAGCTTCGATGAAACACAAATGGGTCCTGAAGTTAGTATTAATTTAGTAAATCATTATTTTTCAACTAGACTGTTTATTTTAAATTTTATATTACTAATTAAAAGGTATTCTTTAATGAATATGAATTTCGATTTCGAATCTTAATTCATAATAGAGAAAGAGTCTATATAAAAAGGATAAATTGAATGGAAGATCTCAGTCAAATCCATTTCTCATTAGAGAAGGTTACAAGGTGGTAAATGAAGTAGAAATAAAAATCGAAACTAATTGTCCTTTAAACACCTCTAACTTCATGTAAGAAAAATGCTTAGGATTGTTGAGGAAAAATACAAATAAGCTCTTATTAAACTTCAAAAATTCGCCCTATCGAAATCCCATAATATAAAATAGCTCTCGAAATTAGCTGAGCATGACGAATGAATGGCGTGAATTGCTTAGTCATTAACTTTAATTAGTGCTTTAACGCCTATTGAATGTTAATTGTCTGAAAGGTCTCTGCACTCACCACACACACATGGTATCCACGCAATCAGTAACACCTTTAAGGAATGTTCTAGCTCGTATGAGACTACCTTAATCAATCTTGCTAGGGTTGTGCACTCTACAGATTTTAAGGAACTTGAAAATTTTTTGGAGAAGTAGATTTTACATGACGTCCTTATGGGATTTTTCCAAAATCAATAGCATTTATTTCGAGACATCTTAAACAGGGTTTTTAAGATGATTAGCTTAACTTTTAAAAATCTGTTACACTTTAATAATCAATCTGCAGTACAATTTGTAGGTTTATTTGAGCTGAAGAGACAAAGTTCATCGATTCGATTCAATGTGTTAGTTTATTGTAGTTAGAAGTTACAGCATTCTTGGATTTCTAACTTGATAAATGGCATGCTTTGAAAATTCAATATTGCTGGATAAATTAAAGTGAATACTTAAATATAAAAGAAAATCAAATAACCCCAGAAGTTGTAGGTTAGTTATTGCTTTTAGGCGGTGAGGAAACAAAATTGAGTATTGTGGGACACGTTATCGCTATGTGCGTCATCGTATGCCTGCATGTCTGCTCGCCAGGATTGAGAGGTGCGGCCGTACAAACAGTGACCAATCATCAACCTCTGTTTAACCTGATCTCCCATCCTGATCATGAGTAGCTCCCTGCGTGTACACTTGATCCGCAACATACTCGTACTGAATAAACGTGCTCCGTGCTACACGTCTGTTTCCTTGGTAGCTGGGCTATAGCTTAGCTGGTTCTGGGAGTCTAGCTAGATGTTGGAGAATCTGCCATAGAGATTTCTGAATCAGTCAGGCTTTAATAAAGTAGCAATCCGCTACAGTTTTTAACCAAAATGTTAAGTTAGAATATAGCATCGGGCCAGAAAGTGGCCTATGTTGTAATGTAAGGCTCAGGTTCTTTTAAATCTAAATGAATTAAAACTTATGATATCCCAGATTCGTTTCCCCAGGTTGGTATTATCAACGCTATCTATGCATCATTATATTCCTAGAACTTAAACTAGAACGCTTCTAAAGGACCTAAACATCTTATTTTTGGATGCTTCAAACTCGTTCTACCTGTTTTTTGCACAAACTTTAAAGAATATATATATATAATCAAACGAAGTATATTTCCACATAATTTTGTTATTTCCGTCAGTATATGAAAGTTACTTGTTGCGGGAGGGTATGAGGGGTGAAAGGAGATCTAGACGTGCTTTGCTTAGGTTGGTGGCCGTCTGAGGATCACAATTGATCAAAGTCTTCGATATAGTATCAGCTGACATTTTTTGGCCAATCATCTAAAAAGCACCGAAATCTCAATCAGAGCAATGTTAAAAAAACAAATAATACCTTCTTCGTTTCGCGTCAGTTAAAGATTGTTTGAGGCATTATTAAATTTAATTATTTGTTTGCAATTTAATAAACAGATTAAACATCCAAATAAATGTATAAAGTGATTTACGGCAAGAGTTTCAAAAAATTGGAAATTACTACTACTACTCCGTAATAATATTTGTTAGGTATTTAAAATTTTATTTAATCTTGAATGTAAATCTGAAATTCTGAATATTAAGAAAATCAGGTTGATTTTACCTAAATTTGTGTGTCTTTCTAGTTTAAAGCACAATCTATTAAATGCCCTTGTAGTTATAATTTAAACCTAATAAATGACCATATAGTGCATTATCGTTCATTATATCATAAAAAGCAACAATGAATAAACAAGAACACTTACAGCAGTTGTGGCATCGGCATTCTTTCGTCCTTTGATAGTTTGAACGGGGCAGGTAGACGATGATATTTTTACTCCTCTTCGGAGCAATATATGCTTCTCATAGGGTTGAAGAAGCATGAGGGAGACTTTGTCCGGAAATTGTTTGATTATGCTAACGACATCAGAATAGCTCATATCCTCTAAAGGAGTATTTATAATATATTTAGAACGAAACCGCTTACTTATTGTTCGTCCATTAACTTCAATCACAATATCATTTTCCATTACTCCTGCCGATTCTGCTGGTAGACCTCCTTCCACATTTCCTATGCGATATTCATTTGATTTGGAGTCTTTCAGGACAAATCCAAAGCCATTGGTATTTGGCCATTTTGAAAGATGAACAATTCGAGCAATTGGTAAAGAATTCATGGAATATCTCAATGGTAATTATGGGGGTATGAATAATCCATTTCCAAAAGTAAGTTTTATGCAAAACACACTTTCTTGGTTATTGGTTAAAAAGTGCTTCAAAAGACAAAATAACCTGACGTCACTCAATGAATGCATTTGTATTGGATCATGAAAAGTTCCAAGTGTAGCTAATTGGATAACTCGGGTAATTAAAAGTATGAAGATATATCGAGAGTGTCATGTGGTAGAGGTGCCTGTGCATTTATTCAATTATTATATAAACCATGGGTTGCATATAAATCCAAGAGTTGAGGGGGGGGGAGTAGGTTTAGGTGGAATAAGTTTTAAGCACAAGGAACCAATTAGAAAATACCGCCATTTATCTATTGTAGAGCCTGTTATGCGTGAAAAAATGAGTGATTAGCTAAACTTACTCTCTTTTGACCATAATTTTAACGAATTTGTGCCATTTTCCCATCTAAATGGTTTTCAGTGTAGGGGTGTGCGATAGACTTACCTCCACGTGGTGCACCCTGGGCAACGTATACTCATACGGCAAAAAGTCTATTAACCGGCAGTTGACCTCTGACCCCACTGTATGTCATATTGGACCACTTCCACAGTACTAACATCACAATTTTTCTAAATTTTCAACCTTTGTCTATGAAACACTTTTCTGTTCCCCATCCCTCGACTTTCTGTTGCTTTAATGTTGAATCCCCTCTGTGATGCCTGAAGTCAACTAAAGGGCTAATGATAACCTTCAAAACGCCTGCCATTTGATATAAATAAATGTTTTTCAGTGCAATAACTATAAAGCATGCATTAATGACTAAATGAAAAGTTAGAACCAAATAATTTTCATTAAAACTATTGAGAAATGTACTCCAATTTTGTGATATACGCAACTCCTACATCGCTGAACTAAACAGTTACATGTGCGTTTAAATATTCTGAAACATGCGACGTGTCGCTAACCGCGTTGGAGGAATAAATGATGTTCCGAGTACAGAAACTCCTTAGCCATTCAATAATCAATTGTCATTTTAGGGGCACCGTGCCCAAAATCGCATTTAATAACTTAGCTCTGTGAAGCGACTGCATAAACTTAATCATAGTCATCAAAACATTGTTCAGTTTCTTCGGTAATTTAGAGGTGGCTTAACCAATTTCGGCAGTCATTTCAAACTATTCGGATTTTGACACAATAGTTTAGCCATGGCTCATTTATGTAGCAAATCGCTTAGATTTCGATAAACGCTTTGCAGACAGATAAGCTTTTTCTTGAACATTATGCCATCAATCAAATAAGAGCGAATTAGATTTCATTCACATATATAAATGTCGTGTTAAAAAAACAATATTATACCTCAAGCTTTTACTATCGTTATATCTTAATTGCTGGTACGAGCCTAAATAAAGACCTTTTAAGTTAATAAATAATATGAGGTAAATCTATCGCACACCCCGCTTGAACGATTATAACAGTAAATGAAATTCTCTCCAAATTTCTAAATAAATCTATCGAGTCTAGCTGAATTAATACAAGTGTAGTTAAATGGTAAAGATGTTTGATTTAATTACAAATAATTCATTCCGATTGACTATGGAAGGGAGAGGAGTGGTGTGAATACCGTTGTAAAGCTCTCCGGATTCAAAACTTCCCATCCTTGTTAGAATAAGCCACGTTTCAATGAGTTGACAAACTAATAAAGCTTTAATAATCACACGTAATGAAATCATTAATATCTAAATCTGCTCATCTAGTACCGCACAATTGATGGATGGTAATATGCCTTATCAGAACACACTGTTATTTTAATCAACAAATAGTGGTAATATACCATATTCATCTTATTAAATTGTATTTTAAATTTTTTAATAATAATATATTTTAAATAATTTTTATTTATTTCCTTGGCATTAGAAAGCTTTCTTCAAAGTCATTTAAATGACATTGATGCAAATACGAAGTCAGCCAATGAAATCACAGAAATTCCCACCATTATTTTCTATTTGTCGATCAAGTGCCATTGAAATTCTGCTGTATTTTCGGGTACACCTGGAAAGTGTTTAAGTGTTTGGCTGATGCATTTTCTTTTGTATGAAATTTTGACACACTGAATAAATTTTTTCGAGTAAAATGCCTGGTAGCAATAGTAGTGGAAGTACTACAAGTAATGCGACAAAATCATCTGGTCGCAGAAAGAGAAGGTATCCATCGTCGGAATCCCGAAAAGTGGAATACGAGTTAAGTAAAGATGGGGAATTAGTGCCGGTTTCAAGTGGATCAAACTCAGGGGATGATTCAAAGATGCTTCAAGATCATCAGATGGATCAAAGTAAAGATAATAAAATGGCCACGGATGCTTCCACTGCATCTTCCTCTCGAAACAAACGCAAGCAGACATTTGAACGAAGGAACATCAAGTAAGTCGTTGTATTTTATTTTGCAAATAATGCTACAAAAATTTGCATCACGATTGTCATATCTTAATTTTACCTTTCAATTATTAGACGCGTTCGAGATGATAGTGCTCTTAGTGAGGAAGCTCAAAATGCACAAAAGGCGGAAATGGAGCGTCGAATGCGTCTTAAAATTGAAGAACGGACAGTGGCTGCGCAATGGAAAACACAGAATGTTTCATGTAATCAACCCACTTTCTTTCCCAATTCTGATGGTAATTCTATGTTGTTTTGTTCATCTCTTTCTAATGTTGGTTACGTCTATTATCGCGTCAAGTCAGGAGTTAGATTAGTTAGTTGGGTTAATGAAAGTCAAAAGAGCTTTTGGTGATTATTTTATTATTGTTGATTTTTTGTATGTTCCCATTTCCCATTTCCTTTGTAATATCTCAAGCCAGTTTTCTTCCTCCCTATATATTTTTTAGTTTGTAGTCCTTCGCTTCATTTTAATCTTTTTAATCTAACATTACTCAAATTACATAATTAAAAGCTCAACTTTCCAGCACGAACCTATATTTCGTATTGATGCTATTTATCTTCTAAAATTGCAACTTGGCAACTGGAAAGTTTTAAATAAGATAACTAGGATTATTTTATAGCAAAATCAAAAGTGGATTTTGTTTCGTTGAAGCCGACTGGAAAATTCCTAGAGCTTTTCGCACCCACCATGACTGAACTCCTCTAATTAACTTTCTCGTAATGTTTAAAGGAATTTTGAGTTTGGTCTTAATATAATGTACTGGCAACTGGTATCTTCCTTAGGTATCCCATCACAGCCAAAATCAGAAGACGATCTAAAATCTGAGTACTCGGAGGTAAAGTCGTCTGATGTCAAACCACCGCCACCATCTGCAAGTACCACAGCTTCGGCGAAGTTATTCAAGCAGAAACAGAGCTTGGATGCCATTCAGGCAGATGATACTGTTATCGTAATCGGTGAATCTGATGAGGAGATTGATTTTAATGTCAATGGACCTGATTTGAAGTTGGGCGTAAGTTGATTCTGCTGTTTTTTCCCTGATCATGTTATTAAGCACACCGACTGCTTTGATTTTGTGGTTGTTATGGAGATACAAACAATAATTTCTTCAACCTTATTTCTAGTATTGTTCGCCAGATAAAGTTAACGAAAAGAAAATTTTGTTATCTATACGCGTTGTTAGTAAACGTCCGTCTTAGAATTGCAAATAAGATTAATTGGAGCGTCAGCTATTTCTGAGCGATAATGCGCGAGTATAGTAATAGTCCCTCAGTTCAGTTGCAAAAGGATTTACTAACTCTAATTGATTAGCTGATTCGAGTATAAATGATATTAAGTTGATCTGATAAATTTGCTAGCAGTTTCTCAAATAACTGATGGCATATCGGTTGGCATGTGTGCGACAAATTAAAGCTCGGTAGTCATTGGTATGTTGATTGACATTAAAAAAAACATTTTGTGCGAATGGCTTTAATATCCTCTCCTATTAGTGTGGACGTTGTGGACCACACGACAACATTGGTTTAAATCTATTTGCCAACTTCGACCTAAAGTTCCGATTTAGCCAAAGTATGTTAAGTTTCTGTCGATTAAGATAAAATGTGTCCCAACAATCATTTTTTGCCAAGAGTGTAATCATAAAGTCCCCTAATTTCAGGCTTTAGCGAAACAACTTATCTTGTCTGACTGCGTATTGATGAACATTGAACCTGTGTTTTTTGCAAGGCAGAAACTAACACTAACCTCTACAAAAACTATTCAAATCTCTATATATTCCTGTTATATGGATCTGTTCTTTCAGCAAAATGTTATAGCTTAAAGTGTGCTTTATCTATTTTTCCCCAATCCTGTTATTCAATTATACCACCCAATAATTTTTGAAGAGAAAGCTTCTCCAAAGCTTTTAGTCGGTGGTAAAATGATACCCTGTAGTTTCTCTGATTGGAAAGTACCTAACCGGACACATTTCTTTAATTAACCCATGTTAATATTGGCTTTTAGGACTTGAAGCTCAGACAACAATTCTCTATACAGGGAATAAATGTACATATATTATTATTATATCAAATAGCAGGCGTTTTGATGATTATCATTAGCCCATTAGTTGACTTCAGGCTTCACAAAGGGGAAGGAACACCAAAGTGTAAAAATTCAAGAGGGGGGGGGGGAACAGAAGAGTGTATCAGAGACGAAGGTAGATAAGGTGGAAAAAAGGTGGGATGAGTACTGTGAAAGTAGTCGAATATGACATACAGTGGGGTCATGGTAGTTTTAAGTCAGAAGTTAACTGCCAGGTAATAAACTTTTTGCCGTATGAGTATACGTTGGCCAGGTACATATATGGAATTGGGTATGAGTTAAATGATTGACTGCTTATCTTACGTATCTAGGCCTGATCACAGATGTCGGAAAT